AAAATGTAAAAATATTTAATAAAATACTGAAAGAAAGCCCAAATTCGAGCTCATGAGACTCGAAGGCCCAATTGCGGAATTGAAGAGCCCATGTTTTCGGCCCAAAAAATATAACTCAATTCATTAGGCCCAGCCCAGAACGCTATAAATTACTGATTTATTTCTTTAATTAATATAAATAATTAGCGATTATTTATTTGATTAAGGCATGAACCACACAGGTTGAAGCGTTGCGAGGCTGTCCGGCGGCCACCGCGGCAAGGTTTCTGAGTTAGTCGAGGGGTTACTGTATATATACATATATATATATATATATACTCCGATCATCTTCTCCATTTCCGGTGAGAGCTGAGTGAAATTCGAGAGACTTCCAGTTATGGAAACCAGACTCTCCGCCGCTCTTGGCCTTCCGCCGCCGGATCCGGTTTGTTATCCTTCTCTTTTCGAATTCCCCACTCTTTTCTCCAACTTTGATTCATTACTCGCCGGTAATAAAGTCCCCAAGGATCGGAATCACTTCCAGTGTCCTCCTCTTCCGTTTTCTTCATTGTCCTTATCCACCGAACAGCAGGTTTTCACCCCCAAATCCTCTAACTGTCTGAAACCTCCCTCTAAAAACTCCCCCAAAATTCAATCCCTTATCAAGAACTTATCCGTTCTCGAACGGGCAGTCGTCGGCGCCGCGGGTGGTGCCATGGCTGGTGCCTTCACTTACGTGTGTCTACTTCCGCTCGATACCATCAAAACCAGGCTGCAGGCAAAAGGGGCTTCGGAGATTTACAAGGGTACATTCGATGCCATTGTTAAGACCTTCCAATCCAGGGGGATTCTAGGGTTTTACAGGGGCGTTTCTGCTGTAATTGTTGGCTCTGCAGCTTCTTCAGCCGTTTATTTTGGAACATGCGAGTTTGGTAAGTCGATTCTGTCGAAATTTGATTGCCCTTCTCTGCTTATTCCTCCAACTGCTGGGGCTATGGGGAATATTATCTCCTCGGCTATAATGGTGCCGAAGGAGTTAATTACTCAGAGAATGCAGGTTGGGGTTAAAGGGAGGTCTTGGGAGGTTTTGATTCAGATTCTTGAGAAAGATGGTATAATGGGGCTTTATGCTGGTTATTTTGCAACGTTGTTAAGGAATTTACCTGCTGGGGTTTTGAGTTACTCTTCATTTGAGTATTTGAAAGCTGCTGTTCTTAGCGAAACGAAGAGTAACAATCTTGAACCGCTTCAGAGTGTTTGTTGTGGAGCATTGGCCGGTGCTATATCGGCCACTCTTACAACACCTCTTGATGTTGTCAAGACAAGGTTGATGACTCAAGTTCATGGGGAGGCTGCAAATATGTACAGTGGGGTGTCGGCTACGATCAAGCAAATATTGCAGGAAGAGGGGTGGATTGGATTAACCCGTGGAATGGGTCCTAGAGTTCTTCACAGTGCTTGCTTTGCAGCTATCGGTTACTTCGCTTTCGAGACGGCAAAACTTGCAATTTTGCATCGATATCTTATGCAGAAGGAGGCTTCAGAATTGTCTTCTGCTTCAACTTGATTGGCTTTGTAGCTCAGGTGATCACTAGAACATCTTTATCTTTCTGGAGTGTTAAGTTTTTGATTCATAGTTTGTAACATTTTCATTTAGAATTAGAATAGAGGAAGAGCCCATCAAAGCATGCAAACCTGATTTGATTTAGTCGCTAAAACATCAGAACAATCAGTCAAGCTTTCATTGTTTGTCATCTATCTGAGCACTTGGAGAAATCCATCATTCCTTGTGCACCACGCAGTCTTCTATCTGATTCTTGCTATATATGATTTTGTGCCATAAAGAATTAACATCTCTAAGATATCTTCAGTTAGTACGACCTTTTTGCATTTGATACATGAATCAGAAGAAATCCATCATTCTGTGAAGTCTATTGTGCACTCTAAGTTGAAATATCAATAGTTATGTTAAGGTAAGAGAAGCAAACCGTATCTGAGATCTCATGTGAAGTAGTGATGGATTGACTAAACTTTCATGTTCTAAATAACAATCCCAGTGGTAGATGTTCTTATTTTCATTTTATATTCTTACCATTGCAGATATGAACTTTTGAAGCCCTTCAGAAGAGTTGAGACCACTAAGAAAACTTCGAATCGACTTCTCGAAGGCAGCTGCGTGAGGTAGGCGATAGGCGTTTTTAAGAGGTTTACTATCTATTATGACAAGTTCTCCCATGTGTATGATGAAGTGATGTTTTTTTTTCAATGTTGGCTTAATTCTTACCTATTATAACATGGAATCTTGGCAGATAATAAGTATTTTTTGTGTATTCATTTGGTAGGAAGCTGATGAATTGATCATATAAACGATAGTTTGGTTTATGTTATGTTGAATAAGAGTATATTGTTCTGTCTCATGGAGTTCAAGCTTCTAGTTCTTTTGTTCTTGTTTTAATTCTTGTTCTTGAGTGTAACAAAGTTATATCTTTTTTTTTATTTACAAAGAAAAAAAAAAAAAAGAAATATGAACAAGAAAGGAAATGCTACCCTATGATTTCCCGCTCTCTCGGCCAAACAGGGCAAGCTCAGTTATGGATTATTCGCCGTTCTTCTCTGTTCATTTCTTCTTCTTCATCCTTTCCAGTTTCGCCCCTCTTTCCCTTTCTTTCTTGTCCAGTGAAAACTTTACCCTCTCCGGTGACGCCCATATCAGAAACAATGCCATTCTTCTCACTAAAGAACACAGCTGCCTTCCCTTTTCTTCGAATTCCCGTTCCGGGGTCGGAACCGCCTTCTACGTAAACCCTTTTCGCTTTCTTGATTTCTCCACCAATTCCACGGCTTCTTTCTCCTCTCGATTCTCCTTCTCCATTGTCCCCACCCCTTTTTGCCCTTTAGCCGATGGAATCGCCTTTCTCATCACCTCCGATACCAAATCTTTCAGCCGCTCTCTTGGGCACATGGGCCTTCCCGACCCGTCTCTTGATTCCCACCTTTCTTTCGTCGCTGTTGAATTCGACACCAATTTCCACCCTGATCTTGGTGACATTAATGACAACCATCTCGGTCTTGATCTCAACTCACCTACCTCTTTGACTTCTGTGGATTTTTGGTCAAGTGGCATTGTTTTGAAAAATGGCAGGAAGATTACTGCTTGGATTGAATACAGGGATGACATTAAGATGATCCAGGTCTGGGTTGGGTATTCCCAGACTCGACCCGCAAATCCTCTTCTGGTTGCGCAGATCGACCTTTCTAAGCAATTTAAGGAGTTTATGTATGTGGGATTCTCTGCTTCCAATGGGAAGGGCTCTGCTCTTTACATTGTTGATAGATGGCTATTTAGAACTTTTGGGTTGGTCCCTTCTTTGAGTCCTGTGGGTGCCATTAACGAAGGAGACTGTTTTATGTGCTCGTCGGAGGATTCAAGCACCAATAGCAGTCATGTCGTTGATGCTCGTAAGAGCAAGAACATTGGGGAGATGACCCTTGGATTGGGAGGTTTAGCTGCATTTGTTTGCTGCATTGTTGCAATTGTTGGTTATGTTTTGATAAAGAAGTTTAGAGGTAGAATGTCCAGAGTCAGAGCAGCCCATGTAACCTCTCATGTTCATATGAACAGAGTGCCAATGAGATTGTCTCTTCATGAGATAAAGTTGGCTACAATGGGGTTTAATCAAAACAGAGTTGTTGGGGAAGGTGGTTCTGCAACAGTATACAAGGGGTCTCTCTCATCCAGTGGAGAAGTAGCCGTTAAACGATTCGAGCGAAGCACGTCAAACAACCGCCAGTGCATTCCTTTCACCACAGAGTTCGCAACAATGGCGGGCGGCTTAAGTCACGAGAATTTGGTTCAACTTCATGGATGGTGCTGTGAGGCGAACGAGTTGATGCTTGTTTACGAGTACTTACCCAACGGAAGCCTCGCCGAACTTCTTCACAATAGCTCCTCCAATTCACAATTTGTTCTTCCTTGGAAGAACAGGTTGTCCATAGTTCTTGGGGTTGCTTCTGCATTGACATATCTTCATGAAGAATGTGAGAACCAAATCATTCATAGGGATGTCAAGACGTGCAACATTATGCTCGATGCAGAGTTCAACGCCAAATTAGTGGATTTTGGTCTAGCAGAAGTATACGAACACGGTTCGAAAACAAGAGAAGCAACCATACCAGCCGGAACGATGGGATACCTTGCACCCGAATATGTTTATTCCGGTGTTCCCACTGTCAAATCCGATGTTTACAGCTTCGGTGTGGTAATGCTCGAAGTTGCATCGGGACGGAGGGCTGTAGAAGAAGACGGGACGGTGCTCGTCAATTGGACTTGGGATCAATGGGAAGTGGGGAAACTGATTGAAGCGTCTGATTCAAGGTTGATGGGAGAGTACAATGTTGTAGAAATGGAAAGAATTCTAATGGTGGGACTTCTCTGTGTGCATCCAAATCATGAAAAGAGGCCAACTGCTAAAGAAGCTGCAAGGATCCTCAAAGGGGAAGCACCACTCCCTCTACTGCCATCAAGGAAACCAAGGGTCAACATCAAGCCTTTTTTTTCCTGATGAAAAAGATAAAGAAAACCCGTGTCGACTATCTCGGCCTCGACGACCCCTAAGAGTCAGTTTAGCTAGCCGAACCATCGATCAAATTTGTCATTGGCACCGATCTCCATTGAATCGTGTATGTTGATTTGGTTTCGGCTTTTCAATGTTTGAAATTTAAGTTTATAAACTTTCCTTTTACCTATGAGCAAGGTTTTTAAACGTTGACTGAGATAGAAACATCGAAATATGTCAAACATTTTACAAAATACTTATCATTAATATTATATTCATATTAGTTGAAATATGTCAAACATTTTACAAAATACTTATCATTAATATTATATTCATATTAGTTCATATTAATATGTCTACGGCGTCAAATCCAAACATGCATAGAAATCAAATCAAATCTGATATAAATTAAATCTGACTGGGACTAAATCAAATAACTATGTCAAATCTAATCCTAACCGATAACTAAGGATAGTAAGAGGATGTAATGTTCTTGAAATTGGCAGGAGGAATAGGAATTGGGTATGAAGGCTCCTCCCAGTCATAATCATAAATGCTGATTTCTTCACACGGCGGCGGATTGAGGACAGATTCATCAACAGGGTCAGGCTGCGGCGGCGACTGCGGCGTCCGAGGACTGAGTACAGGTGAATCAAGAGGATCGGGCGGCGGATGATTGGGGCTGCCGGTGAGAAGTTGGACAATGTACTTGAATTCAGCGGGGGTTTTCACGTGAATGATCTTCGGCTTCACCTTGTACTTTATGATCGCCTGGCGGGGAATGGCGGAAGACGGCGGCAGCGGCGGTTTCTTGATACTCCGGGAGTACTTGGAGATTTGGAGTGGTTGCTCCACCCATTTTTCCGGTGGGTAGAAGCCGGAAGAAAATCTTGAAGAACCCATGCGCCTTGGTTTCTTCAACAAATTGGCCGCCTTTGTAGGATGCCATATCGTATATATAAAAATCCCAATCAAAATCAAATCCAAACAACACACTTTCGACTTCTTTCTCTCAACCCTTCTTTGAGTCACTTTTTTTACTTTCCCTTCAAAACTTATTTATTCCACATTTGAGAATTCTGACTAAATTCTACTTTGTTCGACGTTTGAGAATATTATTGACATGACATAACTCTAATACCACGTTAGAAATCAGGACTCATCTTTATTACTAGAAAGGACTACAATGGTATTGTATTATAGTTTTTGTTGAATCAGTTAGATTTTCTTTTATATTTAGAAATTTATTTATATAATTTATCTTTATTTCTAAGATTTAGTTGTTAGTCTGTATTTTATTTAAATTTGTGAATATTAATGAATATTAGATTTTTGATCCCACCTATGTTTCTTAGACTTTCAATTACGCCTGCGTCTCAACAATTAAAAGAAAAAAAAATTGTTGGCACCCATTTGTAGATTTATTTAAAAAAAAATGGAGGAGGGAATTCAATAACATAAAATAAAATGTGAGATAAAAGAAATGAAATTAGTCGGCGTCGGAGTCTGGAATTTCCGGTCTGTAGTGAAGGTTGGGTGGAGGAGTCTTGAACATGGGCAACGGCGGAGCAATAATATTGTAATCGGAAGAACCCGGCAACGGCATGACTTCCGCCGGCCGGACCGTCGAAGAAGAAGGAGGAAGAGGAGGAAAAGGGTGGTAGGAGGGTGGGGTTTCGGTCTTCTTTTTGACCGTTAGCAGCGGCGGCCGGGGTTTGGGGGCTCCCGGCGGCAGCGGGGGCTTCTTGATATTCCGGGATTGTTGGGAGATTTGGAGTATTTGGGGCTGTTTTAGCGGCGGATGATCCGATCCAGAACCCGACGGCGGACTTGAAGAACTCATAATTGTTTCCCCTTTCAAAAAGTTATCATTGGCGGCCTTCTTAAGTTGAATTTTCTCTCTACTCGTTTGACTTTTATATTAAATAATAATTATAATAAAAAAAAGTCAAAGCTTTTTTTTTTTGTATGAGATGATGAATTAATTTAGGTAGAATAATACAATTATGCCAAAATTAATGATGAAATTAAGATTAGTTAATGAAAATGAGGGAAGTTATCGAAGAAATCTAGCGACGATGCAAAATTATTAGGAGCTATGGAGCTGTCTTGGAAGTAGTGGGTGAGAGAGCTGAGATCCGTTGACGCCGATGGCGGCATTGGCATAATGGGTAGTAGCAACTCCGACGTCGGAGGTAATATCCCAGTTGGGAAACAACCTACACTCTCGACTCCTTGTTCGGTACTACTCGTTGGCATCGACATAGACATTGATATTGTCTTGGATTGGACCTGATGAATGTCAGGAGTATCAGGTTGGCAGCCAGTGAGGCGTTGGACTAAGTCCTTAAATTGGGTAGGATTGGTGTGGATGATCTTGGGGGAGTCGGTGTAGATTATGACGGGGCGGTGCTGCGGCGGCGGCGGCTTTTCGATATTGTGGGAGTGTTTGGAGATTTTGAGGGCGGAGGGGCGGTGGCCATGGAGTTGAAGGTGTTTTCTTTCAGCCATGGTGTTGGTGTTTGAAGAGCGTTGAAAAGGTAATGAATATATAAAGGGGTTTAGAGGTTTGAAAATGTCTTCATAAAACCCATTCAGCAATCCATTGTTTCAGTGTTGAAAGCGTCCAACCCCAAGTCTTGGGATACCGCATATGTCATTGCCACGTCGGATATTTCCATGCTGACCTGTTATATCTATTTATGTTTTTCATATTTCTTTTCAAAAATAAATACCCTCTATACTTTAAAAAAAAAAATTTAAAATTAGTACTTATTATTATTTTACATTTATTTCTTAATCAAAATTGATTAAATAATAATAATAGCCGAACACCTAGAGGTACAACGACCCTTGTGCACCATATCAAGCATGATGGTCATTTCAATCACATAGTGTACGCATCCGTACTCATCATAAATGTAAAGTATTCTCATGCATCTGAACATACAATTATGTCTGAGGTCCCTATAGTTTTCATTTTAAATAAATCATGCACCACAATCTCATTCATTCCTCATATATTAAACTCGGTAATATGCATGCATGAGCTTTCTTAAATCATATCATTCATAACATCATTTAAAAGTTGTGTATCATAAAATCCCTCATTTCAATACATATCAGCATGTCATAGTACATCATAACATCTCATAACATAACATAACACAATTTATCAGACATAATATGACGTTCATTTACGTTCTAATATTACTTGGCATATTTGAGTATATCCTATAACAAACCATATAATCATATCATCAAACATATGATACAGGCGTGTGGGTTGCGTGCGCCTGCTGGGCCATGCAGGTCTACTAGATCGAACTGGGTTGCTACAGATGGGTATGGGTGTCCAACTCGGTTTTGACCCGTGGATTCTTCTTCCTCGCCTGACTCCTTCAATCTTTCTATATACTTTTTCTCTCTCTTCTCTAAACCTTTCAACCTTTTCCTCCATCGCTCCTCCGTTCAAATCCCGACCACCATAACCCTCTATCCACCTTTCCTTCGCACCCGTGATGTCAAAAACACTCGTATGACCTACAATATAGCGTCTGGTCGTCAATTACCCAAACCCATTAAACATTTTAACATAAACTTACTTAAGGCTTGGGATCATAAAAAAGAAGAAACAAAAGTCAAAGTGTTTGGGTAGACCACATGAAATTGTCAATTACAATAAAAAAACAAAACTTATTAAAATGGAGTAGTAGTTTAAATTATGTAGCAACACGGTTTGACCTTATTTGTCAACGACATTAATTCTAATTAATTCATTTTATTGGTAATTCCATTAGGATTAGAAGATGTCAAATAACTTAATCTCCAATTAATTTTAATTAAATTAAGGTTTAGTAATCAAATTAGGAAGACCCATTGTAGAAGAAGAAGATGGAGTCTTAGCGCGTGACCAGACTTTGACCCATAGCACAAAAGTATAGCATAGCGCGTGCATTAACTATATCTATTTACTTTCCTTTACCAACCTTCCATAAATGATTCCTTGCCTCTTCCAACCCTCTCAAGTGGCTGTGGCTGCGCTTGTCTCTCTCGAAACGTCGACTTTGAGGGAGCGTTGGGTGACCTAGTCGTCGTTGCATATCCCGTATGCGTTCGTTCTTTAGAATTCGATATAGGACTATTCTAAACGACCCCTCTTTCTCTCGAGCGTATTACTAGTCTAGTAGAATTCTATCACAGATCTTCTCTATGGCTATGGCTATACCTTCGAAACTCACAACTTCTTTGTTCGACATTTACGGATTAAAGTATGACTTTAATACCGCTTAATAGAAACAAGTGGATTTTCATCATGGTATGATATTGACCACTTTAAGCATAAGCTCTCGTGGTTTTTCTTTTGGGTTCTCCAAAAGATCTCGGACTACTGAAATAATGTTTTTTACTTATATATCTATGATCTTTTCCTTAGGGATTTCAGCAATCTTTAAGAAATTATCTACGGATGCTTAGCTGGGCATTTCGAAATTGAATTACGGAGGAAAATAATGTTTTTGGTTAACCTATCCTACCATTGGGTTCATAACTGTTGTATCCACTTCTACCTGATGTTTAGTTTTGAGAACCTTTCATCTTAGTTGAAAAGTCGGTTGTCTCTTGAAGGGACGACGTCGAGAGGTTGTTAGACTGTGTCGGGACAAGAATACGTAAACTTTTGTAGTGTTGAGATGTTACATGTAGAGTCATATCACTGTCGTTGCAAACCTAAGATCGAAAAACGTACACGAAAACTCCTTTTTGACACTATGTATCGTGACGATGACATTTTATTTAAATATTTTAGTGCGTACATAGGTTTTAAAATTTAACTTTAAAACACTATTTTCTATTTTTCTATTATTACTATTTTAATTTTTTTTATCTACTTTTTAGTAATGAATTTAAAATTTAATATTACTGAGAATTTAATATAAGCATTCTACGGAAACAATTCCGACATTATAATCATCATGACATTATATATATATATAGGCTAGATCAGGGTTTAGGACGAGGACGGATATGAGGAGCACAATCTCTAGCACTTGCTCCGTTTAGTTAATGGGGAGAAATCTCTCCACACTCTTTCTCTAATCTCCGTTTGAACGAGAATTTTCAATCCTGTTTAGGGTAGTTCTCCACATAGAATGAATATTTAAATTGACTTCTCTAACGTTTTAAACTCGAGTCATAAAATAACTTAACTCGAACAGAAAATTTATATGATCGGAAGAATGTGTCCAATTGAAATGAAGAATGTAATGAGTGAGAGAGCGTGGGTTAATGATGACGAGAATTTGAAACGTAGAAGTTAGTATATGTTTTTGAGGTCCAAATATAATGAATTCTTGCTATAAATATTTATTCACATTTATATTTCATGAAAATGATGCAAAACCCACCACGTGATTTCCAATTTCTCTCTTAAAACTCCACCACATATATTTTTATTTATTTTATTTTTAAAAATTCAACTACTTTTTATTTTTTAATATCTAATTAATAGTTTATATTAAAAAAATAAATATTATATATTAAAAACTCGGGAAGATTTACGGTAAAAAAAAACTCGATTCCACAAATTCTCCGTGGGATATCCCGTCTCCGTTCTGACTCTGCCCGATAGACATTACTACTCATTATCCACAAATTACCTCCTCAACAATTTACAGTGGAATATTCCATTAATATATTTTAGCGTTTACCGTTTAAAAAGATTAAAATTAAAATTAATTTATTAAAATATTTAAAAATTTTGAGGATTAATATATAATAAATAAGAGAGACAACCATAATAACAGACGTTAAAAAAGTTATTTGACCCTATAATTAATTGAGAGACAAAATAATGTGAACAACCTAGGATTAATGAACCCTAAACTATATAATTAAGATGATTAAATTTATTTAACGAAAATATGCCACGTAACCCGTTTAATCACGTGCTTTGCAAAATGATTATAATTTTTTACTTCTTAATTCCACAACTGGCAGCCCATTGTATTTCGAGCCGACCATTTTTTTTCAAAATGACCATTTTACCCTTCTCATAAATATCTTAACAACCCTAAAGATCGGAGAAATAAATACTTTTAATTGTTAGGTTATTAATTATAACATAAAATTTAAATTCTAATTAATTAAGTTTTGTATTTACATTATGTACAAAGATACAATAATATTAGTCACATGATTTAATTGAATATTCAGCTACATTTATATAAGGATATTTTAGTCATTTCATACACGGCTACCAACTAAGGTTTGACTAATCAGCTCCCATCACTTTCAAATAATGAAATTCTACCCAATGAAACTATGCCACGTGGATAATAGTAATAATATGATTTGAAATATTTTTTTGCCAAATTTTTTATTATATAAAAAGAATAAATTAAAACATTTTTTTTTTACCCAAATGCCAAATATTTTTAATTTAGTGTTTTCAGATTAGTTAGGTCAACCTGGGAACGGGCTCTGGACAATAGGAACATTTTAGCTTTGGGAACGGACTATGAATTCATGATCATTCCCTAGATTAGCCGATATCGGACTTTTATCGAACAATATGAACACGTAAATGTTTATAATTTTTTTTCTTTCCATACACACTCTCCCTCATGCACTTCCTTGGTCCGAACGACTCCCCAACACCCCACGTTTCTCTTCACACCCACCATCACTCTACATAATTCCCATCTTCTCCCCCACCTCCACATTCCCTTTCTCCCTCCCTCTCCTCCAATGTCCGATCACCACCAGATCTCCCATCTTCCTCCGCCGACGCCGCCGCCGTTCGCCGCCCATCTCCAACGGAAATGGAAGCCCCATCTCGAAAAAGCCCCCAATTGCCCCCGCTGCGCCTCCGCCAACACCAAATTCTGTTATTACAACAACTACAGCCTCTCCCAGCCTCGTTACTTCTGTAAATCCTGCCGCCGTTACTGGACCAAAGGCGGCTCCCTCCGCAACGTCCCCGTCGGCGGCGGCTGCCGCAAGACCCGCCGTTCCAAATCCTCAACCTCCTCCACTATCTTACCCAACGTAATTTCAACCCAAATTACCGAACCCTCTTCCCGATCCGATATTGATCTTGCTGCCGTTTTCGCTAAATTTTTAAACACCCCACCGAGCACAAAGTCCCATGTATCGACCAGCTCCCCGGAATCGACTGACCCATCAAACAATCTAACAGCGAAGAATCCCGAGATCTTCTTCGAAGAGCTATCCGATTTATTCAATCAACCCGAACATCGGATTACAAACGACTATGAAAATTTCCCATTTGAGTTACAACCCGAACTAACCATTGATGAACTATGGCCATCGCAACCGATCGAACAACTTCAAGAATGGGAATCTTTCTCGTGCAATTACAACGCGGAATTTTTGTGATATATCATTACATTATATACATTTTTCATACTCTTATGAAAAAAAGAAATTTATTCTATGGTAGATAGAACATAGGATTTTAATACTGTTACATTGAAAACTATATATTAAAA